AAGGTTTTTGGATGGAACATATAGCTTAGTTTTAAGATCGGCGTGATATCATTCTGACCCGACTTTGCACTTACAATATCATTATTCAAAATGTTTATCCAATGCCTCTCATCAAAGCAAGAACTTAGAACACCACCATAACCTTTGCTGCCAATGAAGATCCTGAAAGCCCTCTTTTTTTTTTTTTTAACAATCTCTTTAGCAATGGGTCTTGATTTGTTATGATGAACATCATGGTTCTCTATATTGGCAAATGCATGATTGTTGAGGAGCTACAAACAGTCATCATCCTCTAGGCCCTCTAATGTTAATATGACTTCCTTCTTGAGGGATTCCAACATATCTGCAATGGCTCTTTTTACATCAAGGTTATTGAAAATACTAACCCATGTTTTAAGATCGGATTCATTTTTCAGACGTTGTGAGAGAGTTGTTTGTTTAAATTGTTTAAGTTCTACGTGATGTTGTTCGATTCAAGTTCAAATCAAGTTCTCCTTGGTTGAGTTTGATTTAAGTCTTTTGTTCTGTTGTTCAAGCTCGAGTCCCACTTAATAAAAATTTTGGACACTTATATATCTGTTGATGCTGGTCTATGTCCTCTCAAGTTCACATTAAGTCCATTATTCACTTAAGTTCAAATTCATTTTAAATTTGAGTTCACTTAAGTCCGTTGCATCCGATTCAAGTCCAAGTTCACAAGTGTCCCGTTGTCCTTCAGAGTTCAAATTCCTTATCTTTTTTTTAGACAAAATTTTGAATGCCTCCCAGAGTCTCCCCATTTGGGGGAAATTTCACGAGTCCAGGCCTCCCACCACGCTAGAAAAAAGCGTGCACAGTTCGCGTCATGGGACACTGCGGCCATAGTTTTCGTCTCCCACCACGCCAGAGAAAGGCGTGCATAGGTCTTCACGCACCGATTTTGAAATGCGCAATTTTATAATTGTTCCCGCCTCGCCGTAGGTATCGCACCGGGTTCCCTTCCCACCACGTTAGAGAAAAGCGTGCATGGGTGATTTTCTGGTGCACTGCTAACGTCGAAAATAGAGTTTTAACAAACTTGTCGTAGGCGTCGCACCAGGTTCTCTTCCCACCATGCTAGAGAAAAGCATGCATGAGCTTGTTTTCCGGTTCGCCACCAACGTCGAGAGCGGGATTTTAAGTTAGAAAGATTATACTTGCGTGTGTCGACAGTGGTGCTGGCATGTGGATTGAGGTGAGGAAAGAATTTACATTTCTTCTATTTCCTTGTATTAATTATAATTAATCTTTAATTAATTATAACTAATTATAGTTAATAATAATTTATTATAATTAAAATAATAATTAAATATAATTAATACTAATTAATCTTAACTAATTATAATTAATAATAATAAGTGTATTTGCTTGGTACAACTAGGTATTATTTGATATTAACGAGGAATACCGCTCTTTGAAGATCAATACCGAGTTATACCGAGCTGTATCGAGAAATACCGAGTTGTACCGAGTTTTTCTAGGAAAAACTCTGTACAACTTTTATATAACATGGTATTTCTCGGTTTAGCTCGGTATAACTCGGTATTGGGTCTTCAAATAATGGTTTTCCTCGTTATTGTTTGATATTGCTCGGTATTTGCTCGGTACAACTCGTTTTTTGGCGGGATTTGGCCTCCGACAGGACGTTCCAACGTCCGGTCGGAGGACGTAATAATTGTTCTTTACTTCCAGGCAGCAGGTTCCCTTGGTCGAAGAAGCTCGCGAGAGGGAGAAGTTACCTTCACAGTGAGCAACTCCCATCCCTGCTTCCAATAAAAATGTCGTAACTTCCGAAACGACAAGAGGGGAATGTCGCTGGCTAAAGAAGTAAAAGGAGGAGGCGTCGGCTAAGGAGGAATCGTGGATGAGGCGTCGGGTAGAGGTAGGGAGAAATCTCTATCCATCTCTCAAAGAGTTGGGGAAGGTGGAAAAGATCTTCGCTAGGGCAGGAGGTAACGTCAAAGTCAGAGCAGGTAATGGGTTTGTGGAAGAGTTCGAATGGCTCGGGTTTTAGTTACAGGTGGAGTTCGGCTTTGGGATAGAGGCGGGTGAGGTCGGCGGGAAGGAGGAAGATCGGCAGTGAACTAAGGTAGTTCGAATCTCGTACAAGAAAGGTTGGAGGAGGCTTGGAGTAGCGACTGCTGGAGGTCGGAGCTTTCGCGAGTGGGAAGGAGTTCGGCTGCTGGAGCTCGCGTGTGGGAAAGATGAAAGAGATAGTTCGTACCTTTGGCTTCGTTTGCTTGCATTTTAACGACAAGAAGGGCAAGTGTCGGCGCATACGAGAGATGAGACGCGCCATTTGCAGGGCAAGGTCAGGTGACCGAACGAAGAGATAGCTCCGGATATTAATAAAATATTATTTTAAAATTAACGCAAGTAAAGCGCAACTAAAGCGCAGGTAAAGCGCAACTAAAGCGCAACTAAAGGGCAAGTCAAAAAGCGCAACTAAAGCGCAACCAAAGCGCAACTAAAGCGCAAGTCAAAAAGCGCAACTAAAGCGCAAGGTGACGCGGCAAATTTTTATTGGATGTCCGAACTTATTTTCCGCCTCCGGTCACCTGACCCAATAATTTGCCCATCAAGGGTATGGAGCGCTATATACGCGGCAGATTCTGTAGGATTTTGGCGAGATCTCAGCATGGGTCGCCGACTGTAGGTAATCATTTTAAGCTTTTTTTTTCCTTTTTGTTATAATGTGGAGGTCAACTATTGTCCACCCATATTTCCAAAAAAAAAAAAAACTATTGTCCACCCTAAATTTATATATATCAACTTATCCCAAGTACCCTCCATGTTATCTCAATCCTTGAAAATGACTAACCATTGTTTCTCATTGTTCGATTTGAATTAAAGAAAAAGTGACCAAACAATAGTTTTTACTAAACAAGATTATATTATTAAGTATGCAAGCAAATTATTGAGGAATTCTCACAGCTTTGCGCCTCCTCCCTCCCTTTCGAGGTTGCTTCATTTTTCTTCTCATGAGTAACCTATGAAGGAACCACTGCAAATGTGTAATAGCATTCAAAGCGGTTTTACTCTTTCTACCATGGGTAAACTAGGAAGGGGCCAAGATTTGGACCAAACCTACCATTAAAGGACCACGCAAACGGATTACATTCTAACGGCACTGGTAAACGAGTAAACAAAAAGAAGTTGCCAAATCAAACAATTTCACTGAGAAAAAATACCTCCATCATCGTACTTAAACCTTTGCCATGTTTTGTTGGGGAAGATTCCATGGGTTACGTAGGCACTGATTTTGGCCGCTCCATGAGCTGCTAGTACTTTCTAAATAAAGGTAAACAGATCCCAACATGAGGCAAATATAAAAGTATAACTAGCAGGAGAAAAAAAAAAAAGAAACAAGGCAGACGACTATGAATAAGAGTAAGAAAATGAAGAATGAATTCAAGAAAAACTTTTTGATGTAATAAGTCAGAAACTACTAAACTGAACACAGAATGTCATAACAAACTTCCTTACCTGGCATTCAATTAGCGTACCCCCTGATTGTACGAAGTCATCAACTATAACAACATGGCGACCTTTTGGGTCTCCCTCCTTCAATCGTACAAATCGATGGTCACCTTCCCTAACTTTGGTACAGACAATCTGAGCATGAAGATTTCTCCTAATCATAATCACGGAATACTGCCAGATACATGATGCCAATCCAGCATAAGTGTTCCAATAACTGATATATTACCACTGGGAAATGCTGAAGTTGTTTATGAAATCGCTTCCATGAGCCATCGTCAGGAAAAGCGATAGATATCTGACCAACAAATGCTCACAGGCGAAACATGTGAGATTAAGAAAAAAGTATTTCTTTACAAAAAAAGCATTTCCAATCGCAATTGTCACTCAACAGAATATATCAGCCTTTCACTTTTAAGAAGGTAAAGAAACTTTCAATTTCAGTTAAATTGGAGCAAGCCTGATGATAGGATTTATATCAATAAATATGATAACTTGTCCTTCAAAGATTGTTTATATATATAATCTATAAAATTATTGAGAGAGGATTGAAAATCCACGAATAAAGATTTTAACTATCAAAATATTGCTGAATTAAATCCATATTAAAAATCTATACAAAGATTTAAAATGGCTTGAAATTAACAGGCAAAGGTCAAGGATCTTCATTCAAAAATTCCACAGCAACAATTGATAATTCTTTAACCTCTTATGTAATTAGAATCACAAAATAAATCTCAATAGCATTTCTATTTTTCAGATCCTTAAAAAGAAATAGGCCTAATAGCTTCAACAATTATTAATTTTTCAAATGACAATTTTAACCAAACTTATTAGAGAAGCGCATGATAAAATATTTTAGCAAAAAGAATTTTTAAATATCTTCAAAAGACAATGAATAATGCATGGCATAATTTGCATACATACAAAGATGTGCTTTTTGAAAATACTTTATATTATTTAATAAATGAGAAAAGGATCAAAATGATCCCTCAACTCTTTAAGAAGGACAAAAATATTTCCCAACTATCTAGGAGAATAGCATTTATACTCTTATTGGTGCGGATAGTAGCAAATAAAAAAGCATATTATGATTTCTAGGTCTAATTTACTTTTTTGATGGGAGAAATGTGTTGAAAGGTAGACCAACGAAATATTTTGAGAGGATTGATGTAGATAAGTTACTTGGGTGGGACTTTGGCAAAGGGTTTTATAATACAGGATTCTTGATGTCATACACTTAATTTGATATGTTATAGTACATCCCTCAAAAAATATTTTAGGATATTATTAGTGATCATAATTGATTGAGCAACTTCCATAATATATTTATTTTTTAATGCGACCCCATTTTATTGAGTATGAATACAAGAGGTTTGGTAAATAATTCTTTATAAGAAGAGAGATTCTTCAATAATGAAAAAAATGTTCTTTCCCATTGTTGTTCTCGAAGACTTAATTTGTATTTTGAATTGAGCTTTTAAAATGAATGAAATTTAAAAAAAAAAATAGAAAAGGTTTTTTACTTATTTTTTATTAGAAAGATCTAGTGATTCGAGTTTTTTTATTAACAGAGATATAAATCATCTTGCACCTAAAATATTCCTCACTCGAGATGGGCCCAAATATTACTATGAATGGTTGTAGAAAGTTGAGAGGCTTCATAAAGATGATTATGGTAGGGAGCTTGAGTGTTTGAGGAACAATTTCTTATGATATATAAAATTTTGATGACCAAGATGAAAGTGTACAACATAATCGTGGCATGTTAAAGAAAGATGCATATGAACATTTTCTCTTGCCTTTCAAAATTCCTTTCATAATTTAAAAAAAAATGACCAATATTTTTCTTAGTATTGCCAATTATACTCCTTGAGTTCTTATCCTAAAATTCAGAAGTAGAAAAAAAATAGGAAAAACATTTATATCCTAAATAATTTTACTTATTAATAATGTTGCAGGAAAGTTAGGAACAAGGAGTATTGAGTTAAGAATTAAAGAGCTAGTGAAATTGATAATCCCAATAACAATTACTAGTGATGTTGATCCGTTGTTAATTTTAAATATATGGTCTTTTAAACAAGGATGAAGGGTACAAATTAAGCAGACATCCACTGTTATATGATTAAAGACTCTAGAGTCTACAATTGAAGATTATGGGTTTATATTTTTTTTTTACAGTAAATGCATTCAAGATCATATCGCTTTTTTAGCAACCGCACTTATAGTAATTTTTTATGTTGAAGGCTTTGGTTTGAATGAGATAATTAGTGACTTAGTGAAAGTTTCTTGGATACCAGAGTTATCATGCGATCTTGATTCATGGCAAGAGGCATAACCAAACAAGGAACGTTTTTCTTGGCCATTGTCATGTTTTAGGAAGCCTTAGAATTATGAGAGAATGTGCAAGGTAGAGAGGTAATAGAGGACTGAAAATACAGAAAGATGAATAATAGAAATATTGCCAAATGAAAAAAATATGAGAGAAGAATACTATACTTTTCATATTTACAAATGATAGTAAAGGCACAAACATGATTTATAGTATATGTTCTGAGTCTAGAATAGAACGAAAACAATGATAAAAAATTATGCCATAATCAGCTTAATAAAAAGGAAAAAACTAGGAAAGATATTAACATAATATTTTATAATGAATGTAGCAAAGAATCACATTCCATATAAGCTAGATGAAAAGCTTCTTTCAAAGGAAAAAGTTGGCAATAACTTTTTATGAATGGAGTGTCTAGCAGGTGGAGGGAGGTGTAGCTATGGCCATGTATGGAAGGAGGCATAGTTGGAAGGAGATAGGAAGTAAAGCAAGTGAATGGCATGTAAGGAGCAACTGAGGGATAATCAGGTGGCCTTCAGAAGGCAAGAGGTTGCCATTCGATGGCTGAGAAGTTGGAGTGAGCTGGAATAGACACTAGGGTAGGAGCTTGCTAGGAAGACTATGGAATTACAGGAGTTGATTGGAGGTTGCATAATGAATGTTGGAACAAAAACAGGGTAGTTGCAAGTTGGCCACCGGTCTGCACCTAAATTAATTGCAGCAGCATGAATTAAGGAGCTGGTTTCAAGATTTCCACACTTTCACCTTAGGTCCATACGTTCACCCCATGTTAACAAAATCCCCTTGGATAATGTGACATATATTTGCCCAAAAAAGTAGGTTGGGTTAACTATATTTATTGAATAAGTTCAACAATGTCCATGACTACATGAAACAATAAAATCATAAGAACTTGATTAAGTTTTTCATCACTCTTTCACCATCCCCTTTGATTCAATAGTGGTATATTCTTTCCCAATCCAAAATGTTGCTGCTGAAAGCAAGTATGGTACATTTTATGGAGTAGCTTTACTCAAATTTTCTCTATCATGATTAAGAGAGAGAATTAAATACAAGACTTGTGCATGTAGAAAATCTTACAACAAATTCTTGTAAGAGGGCTAAATCTCAGAGTAATAACTGAGCTTATATCTAATGCCTTATAAAAATTTGACCCAAAAAGCAATCAAATATGAACCGAGTGCAGATTTTCAAAGCCTGCATAAACTTAAATTAATTTAAACTTTTAGAAATTAAAATAAAAGACTATAGATGTGAGAAGTTTAAACATATTTTAGAAGTACATGATAAGCTTCAAATATATGCACTAGTATCACATGCATTTTTATCATTTCTAAAATAATACAAAAAAAAAAAACATAGGATCAAAACAACTACAATTGAATTGAAAACTTTCGAAATAAACTATAGGACCGTTCAAACTCCGATATCAACAAATTTAAAGTCAAATCGAATGGTTTGATGGAATAAACCCAACAACACCAAAAGTGTTATGATCCAAAACCAAATCAACAACTTAAAATATACTTGAAAATTATAACACTATTTATTGGACCAAATGATTTATGAATTTAATATGTTCACAGTCAAAACGAGCATCTCAATGAGTGAAATCAATTGATCTTTAATCATTAAATTCTAGGGGTTTTTTACATACCTAACACTTAAAACCAATGTTTAAAATTGCGTATTCGGGTATTGAGGCGTTTTTCATTCGTGAGGAGAGGCGTAAGCCTTAAGGCATTTTGAGGCGTAAGCCTCAAAATCAAAAGATTGCGTAGACATAAAATGATAAATTTTTTATATACTAATGAGTGAATAATATAAAGCATAAAAAAACATAAGATATAAAGTGAAATCAAAATATCTAAATAACAAGACAACATGAAATATAGTTCAACTCAAAATTCTATCTTTCCCAAATCTCAGCATTCTTTTCATTAACATATAATTCCAATTTCAAAAAATAAATAGCAATGACATATCACATAAGAACTCATAGGTCATCAGCACTGTCATCACTAAGGGGTTCTTCATTTGAATCATCATTATGGTGAACTGCTCTCTCCCCTTTCTCCTCTCCTATAGAGTCCAATTTCGGGCATTTACTTTAAGATTTATGTAAGTTTTAATATATATAGCATGAGGCGAGGCGGGCCTCAACCAAGTTGAGACGCAAGCCTCATAAAAAAAAAAAACTCTAGGCATAAGCATCGAGACACTTTTAACTAGAATTGCGCAAAGGCGAGCCTCATATTGCGCAATTTTAAACCATGCTTAAAACTACTCTATTTACCTATCAACACCCAAACTTCACTATTTATTATTCTACCATCTAAAAACCCTTGCACTCATCAAAACTACCACTCCCTAACCTCCGTCAAATACCTCACCCCAACCATGTCCTCTTCGTGTGAATGTCCTTATTGAGTAGTTCCACGCCGTCCGCATCGGCGGTCTTCTCCAGGATGTGCGAACACATCTCAACCGAGCCAAAGTGTTGTGCGAACATCCCATCCGACGGCCGATTGAGCAACTCCATCTAGCAGTTGAATCCCATTCGGCACACACTGATCGTTTTCTCCATCCGACGAAAATGTTCTTCCTGAAAATACGTGAAAAATACTCCTTAGACGTGCAAATTAGTTGCTAACTGTCATTATGCAGCTCCAAACCATGAAATATATGATTTTTCTAACTGTCGTTATGAAGCAATTGCTTCTACTGTTTGCAATTAGTTGCATAGAAATCTAGTGAATTATATGAATTTTTTGCTGCTATTGTTTTGTCTTTAACTCAACAGCATGATGACAATTATTCCTTAATTTTTGCTGCTACTGTTTCTTAGAGCAAATGAGATTGAATCAAGCATCCCCAGAATTTGCAAAGAGAGAAACTCATCCACACGGTTTAAACAAATGATTTCGCCGGGGAAACAGAAAAAGGCACCTTCATAGTGTGTCAAATGCTCTTATTTTTGTTTGGAAGAAACTCTATCATTGTAAGCTTCGAGATTCTTTGTATTTAGCTGCTTGCGTCGTCTTCGATTCATTTTTCTCTTCGTTTAGCGTGATCCCCTTGTTGCCGCCGCTCTTCATAATAGGGTCCATCGGAGGGCCACAGTCGGCGGCAGCGGCTTGGAGGAATGTCCGATTGTCAATTCGGGAAATCCGATGGTTGAATCGGCGGCAACGGGGAGGTTGAAGGTGGAAGTGGATCAGAGATGGCACGACGACAGTCCGAAGAAGAAGAAAGTGGATAGGTGAATTCGTCGACCAGAAGAGCCGATGAAGGCGAAAAAGACGTTTCAGAAAGACAGGGTCGACGTGAGATATGTGACGACAGTGATAGTTTTGATGAGGGCGTAAACTTTTAGATGGTAGAATAGTAAATAGTAAAGTTTATATGTTAGATAAGTAAATAGAATAGTTTTAAGTGTTAGACATATAAAAATCCCTAAATTCTAATGACATTAAGTCACTTAAATGCCTAAGGAAAGACCTACTAATTAAGGCAATCAACAGAGGCCCTCCAACAGAGTATTTTGGAGATTTAGACTAAAATTACCCCAAAAAAGCTCACAAAAATTATAAATAGATTCTTATTATTTATATTAGAGAGATTTGTAGTTGGAGAGAGCATAAAGGTTTGAAGAAATCAAGATCTTTTCCCAATGATCACTGCCAAAAACTATCATAACCTGCTCAACATTGTAATCATCGCTTGAGTGAATCGATTGATTGTCATCACTCGGTTGTCCACTCCAGACCATCATAGTTTGATTATGATCACTAAACCTATTACTCGATGATTGTTTCTACCAACCACTATTCATCGAGAACACTAATATGTACTAATTGACTTTCATCTTTTGATCTCCATCACGCTTCATAATTTCTCAAGCATTCTCTATTCCATCTATAACAGGCCAAGCTAGGGTTCTATACGTCATAATCTTGTATTCTATAATTGAGCATAAGAGAGGACTTCTATACTCTTACATAATAGATTATTTCATTTGGGATAGACACCATAGTTTTTTTCCCTTCTAGATTTTTTTAATAAAAACTCTGGCCTCTTTATGTGCAGATCTTTGTGTAACACTAAGATTAGAAATTCTAAATCCACCATTATAAATTTTCTAACATGCAACAAATATAAAAAAAAATAGGAATTTTTCCTTTATGCAACTATTTTTTAGTTTTTGCAAGGACATGTCTAGGTGAACCAAAAGAGGAATTGTGAATTGTGGAAGTTTACTCAGGAAGCTGTCTGACATTGTCAGAATCTGGAAGCTGCTGAAGTCTGTTCTTAAGCAGAGGCATCCCACTCTCAAAGAATGGCAGTACATTATCCCCAAAGTAGAACCTTTCCTGTAGAAAACAGAAGTAAAAAAGAATATTGGGTGAAAATCAAAATTTAACTAGTTCGACAGTTTTAATGGAAGGAATCAGTCTTAGATCTACCAAAAAAGAGTGTAAATCAAATATATCAGTAAATACACGTATTATCAAATTAACCTGCAAAGCATGGATATCAAAAATCACTAAACTGCTTGGTCCTCCCCTTGAAATCGGTATGTTTGACAAGATTCTAGCAAGAGTGAAAGCTGTTGCTACATCTCCTTCTTCTTCCATACGCTCGTAAGATCCCGTAGGAAAGAATGGAAGGACTACTGTAAATGAGGAGACGAACAACCTTGGTAGAGCATAGATGATTGATAACTGCTCAAATATTACCCCAGGAGAACTAAATGAGGCCAAAAAGGAAACATGTTGTCCACGAATTCCATGAGCATTAGAGATGAATAAGTTGGGAAATCCATCTTCAAAGTTCCTACAAGAAAATTATGAAAGAAAACTTTATCAATATATGAAATAAGACAAGCATCGTAGAAATGTAAACCTAGGTGACATAAGAATAAAGAAAAATATATCCTAAAAAGAAAGAATTTAACAACAGAATAAACTAAGTTTCTCAGTTTAATTTCACACCAAATTCAAACAAATAAACCAAGTGGTTGAATGTTAAAGAGAAATTGAAAGAGCTTTCTAGAAAAATTAACATAGTATTCCCGAAGAGGATTTAAATTTCAAATGTTGTCATCATAGGAAAAGGCCAGTAGGATTTGAGGTGCTCGCTAACAATTAAGAATCCTCTTTGGGGGAGAGAACGAGTTTAACCGAGCAAGATTTTCTTTTCTTCATGTCCTTTTGGGTCAGTTCCTTATTTACCCTAATGCATTGATCCATGTCCCCTTGAAATACATTTTCTATAAAAAAGTAAGGAAATTAAAAAATTCACCTTAGGTTTGAATAATGATATATTAACAGATGGTATGATATCAAGATGTTTTCTCTGTTTTAATTGAAATTGAAATTAAAGGCTCTAGTAGATTAATAAAAAAATAAAATAAAAAATTCTTCTAATTTAGATTTTGGGGCATCACAATAGTGGAGGCAGCAAGACTGTATGATGGCTGAGAAGAGCCTAAGAAGAGTGACCCATTCCTAAAGTTTTAAGAATATACCCCTCACTGCGAGGTGACCCCACACCAAGCAAGAAACAATTATCGTTGTCATTATTGAGGTAGCAACACCTCAAGGAGCGATGCTAACTCCTACACTAGCCAAACTTGTTGTTAGCTAGAGTGAAGGGAAGAAACACTCCTTTTTTACTTTCGAGAGATTCATGTCTGAAGGGCTAGTGCCACAAACTTCTAACGAGTCAAGGGTCTACCTATCCTCACGTGAGTTATTAGGGAGCCCATCAAGCAAGTTCGAAACACTAAGAATAATAAATACGTGCTTTGGTTGTACATAAGAATGGTAAACTTGCACAATAGGCTGCTAAAAGTCTCTTTGAGCTTTTTGAGCAAAGAGTTTTTACTTCCTAATCTTCTCCCTTTGCTATAGGAATGACTCTAACAGTGATGAGTATTGTAGATCAACATGCGTCATCCTTCAAGGAGGTTACTTCGATCACCAAACTTGGAGGGTGCACATGTCAACGAAACAACGTTGAACTTCCTGTGGCTCCAACTACGTCGACTACAGCAACTCCAATATTCTCCACCTCAATTGGCACTCTAGGCGCTAAGATCCCTCCTTAAGGGCTACTTAACATGTACAACTCAAAATAATAATAATAATAATAATAATAATAATAATAAAACATGTACAACTTCACTTAGCAAGTTAGTTTACTGGAGAAGATTCAAAGCATTCAAGCCGTACTTAGTGAAGAACATGGGGCCTCCTAAAGGGTGAGTGGAGTGACTGACAAGGTTTCCTTGCTGCATAAAAAGTTAGTGAAGCTCAAGGCCAAGATGGTGGTAACTTACATCTCATTGAGGAGGTCAAGTCAATTTATTGCAAGGGGGCTCTTCATCCTATAGTACTTAGTGAAGAATGAGTACTTGCACCTGAATTATTATTAGATAATGTATTTAGAATTTTCTTTGAAAACGAGTAAGCTCATCCCTCCTTGTCTTTTTTTTATGTAAGCATGTCATGTAAAAAATATTCTAATTTAAAATTTTACTTTCTTGTCCACCCTTGTGACAAGTTTGTATTATTTCCTTGCTTTATTTGCATAATTTACTTTATTTTGGTGACTATGTAATTCCATATATGGCAAGCGCTTTATTCTTTACATGATAATCTATGATGATGATGAGTTGTTGCCTTTAACTTTTCAGCACTTTACTAGGGAAACTAAGAAATAACTTTTCGTGTAGCAAGTAGGATATATTCTGTGTGAGAAAAGCGATAACAACTTCCAACCCTTGATGAGACGAGTTGAAGGAAATTACTTGCAAGGTGGGAAATAGAATGATTATTTTGCTTCGTTGGTTGGGGGCCTTGGGGATACTTCCATTTTACTTCATAATGGCAATATCATGAGCGAGAGAATGAAGAAAATTACAAGATCTTTCCGTAATGATGAATATATGATTGTAATCTAGGGCATTAATGATAGATGTGACTAAAGCCTTGACATTCCAGTCACTATTCCCCTTTAAAAATACCTCGTCACCTAAATGAGAGGGGCGCAACATTTTGTTCTATGCTTTACATGTTCTCCCTTGCACTTTCTCGGTAGTTTGAGCTCTCATATGTGAGATGGTGGCTCTGCACAAGTCTTCAAAGGCCTTTGTTGGCACTAAGTTCCTTCAATCTTCAAAGGGACCAAGGTTTAAAATTGAGTAAATAAGTTTCGAGACGGTTTTCATCCGTGAGACGAGGCGTAAGCCTCGAGGTGGTCTGAGGCATAAGCCTCACGGACGCAGAATTGCGTAAAGGAGAATTTAAGGGTTTTAACAGGTAAATAATGGCAATATTCTATCATACAATAAAAACATCTAAATGATATATGAAAATAGTAGAAAGTAAGAAAATAGATATAATAAAATCAGGTCCCAAAGTACAAAATCACAAAATATTTGTTTAACAAAACTCCCAAAGTACAAAGAACATATAAAATTCAATCATATCACATCACTAAATGGGTCTTCAAGGGAATCTTCTTCTCCAATTGTATCCATAAATGTCATATCATCATCATCTTCAATATGACTCACTTTTCTTTTCCCTGTTCAATAAGAGAAAAGATCATTATCATGTTAATTTCTCATTTGATATAAATATAATGCAATAGCATATAAGAAGTTGTGGAATACATTTATTTGATTGTTGTGCTGCAGAGCTAGTGGATATGTGTAGTTTGGTACTAGTGGATGTGCCCACTTGATCTACTTCGCCCCTCAAGACATCCACACTTAGATCCTCTAGCTGTAAATCTGATAATGGCAAATCTGTCTCATCATCTATGAACCACTCATCAGATGACACATCATCACACACCAACGGGTCTTCATCATCCTTCAACCCCTTATTCCTTAACCTCCTATCTCTTAATCTCTTGTTGTGCATAATATATACAAGGGAGTTCATTCTGAGTGTTGATAGCCGATTTTTTCTCTTTGTTTGCACTTGACTATATGTACTCCAGTTTCGCTCACACCCAGAAGAAGAACAAGTGAGGTCCAAAACTCTAACAGCAAAACTTTGTAACTCAGGGGTGGAATCACCAAATTGGATCCATCATTCAATTGTTTTGAAGAAGAAAAAAGATAATCAGAATTTAATAAAGTGATTTGCATTTACCAAAATAAGTATACCTGGAGACCATTTGGCAATGGTTGATTTTGATGCATGCAGACCAAAAAAACCCTCTTTATTCCGAAATAGAACAAGTTGTAAATCTGCAAGCTCCCTATCTGTTTGCTCCGGTATGAGTCGTTCCATGCAATGATACAAACCAAGCTTCACCTCTGGGTTTGAAGATTTCATCTCTGAATATTAAAATTGAGGATTAAGATAATATGTCACTGCATGTAGATGACGGTGTAACTGTACCTCCCACCGAGCATCAATGATATCTCAAATCTCTCTATAACTTGCCTCCTCTCCTCCCAAGTTGTGTGGAATCAACTCCTTGGCCTCATCCATAGCATTATAAATAAAACCCATGGTTGGTTTCTTCTCGGCATCCACTAAATGATTTATAGTGCACAAATGTAAGAACATACCTAGTAGTTGCAGGGTGAATGATTTCCTTCTTTGAAAACTTTCTCATCAAAATAGTGAGCAAGGAAATTTCAAAGGAAAAGCATTACGGGTTTATAAGACTGTTGACTCACATGGGAAGAAGAGCATCTGGTATTCCTTCCATAGAAGAGAGAACACTGAATTATCCACAAAAGGAACAGTCAGGCTTGAGAAAAATTGGAGCTTCTTTGGGTAGAACGAGAAAATTTTATTTTATTCCATCGGGAATGATTGATTCGGTGCACTGCAAAGAGAAATCTTATATAAACACTTACTCATTGCATGCAGCAGAAGATGGCTCCATCTTATCCAGTTCTTCTAACTCTGACTGCATAAATGCAGAGAACACCGTGTTTACTGTGTGGAGAAGAAAAAATAAGATATAATAAAGGCATTGGAAAACAATTCACCGAATGCACACTAATTGATTGGATTGATCAACTGGTGTTGCCCATGGTTTTTGAGATCCACTTCAATTTTCTTAGATTTGTTGTTCATGTTTGGTTCGCTACCCTCACAATGATCTTTTAAATGTTTTTGGAGTCAATATTTTGGGTAAAGCAAATTGTTCAACTAAGGCTCAATTTGGACCAACTTCCTCCAAGCTTGTTTTTTAGGTAGTAGTTACATCCCTATTCAACTTCTTTTGTATTGCTTTTATATATCATAAAAACTATTTTTTATAATCAAATCTATTAGAATGTGGTAGCTATAAGAAAGATTCGCTTTTTTCAAAATAAATAAATAAAATAATACCCACAACTGCTTTCAAAAATATTTTTCCTCGCAACATTAGCCAACCCAAATGGAGTAACAAATGTTAAGCTTGAATGCAGTACTTCAACACTATTGGCAACACACAAGCAGAGAAGCTAATTCATATCTATGAGAATAACAGTAACCTTGTTTCTTATCAAACATCAAAACACTACGTTACCAAATGAAGTCTAAGCAATTCAAACAAAACAACACAAGATTTTGATATGATTATTTATTTAGCCCCTGTCATAAACCTCTAGAAAAGGCTAAAAACTTAAATGCTTGACGTACAATTCTCTCCAGGTTCCAGATCATTTTGGACAACCCGAAGCACCTCTCTTCACCCACCTCATTCATGAAGCTTGCATTCTAATTCTTACAAACATACAGCTAAGAATTTCAAATCTTAAAAGATGCAAGGGTTGTTATTTGAAAAAAATACAATATTTATGGGTGAGACAGCCT